TCTGAAAAAAAAGCTGGAGAAAGTCTCACAGTACATGGCCAGTCTAACTGGAAGTTTTGACTTGAGTATTCCTGATGCTGCCGTGATGATTCACACCAGACAGATGCATGTGTACTGAAGTATCTCACACTGATGCTACTTGCTAAGGTGCCAGCAAGGTTTTATTGACTCTTGGCCATGCAGCAGCTAAAGCTGAGTAAGAACAGACAAACTCTTCAATTCAAATCTTTCTGCCAGGCACTGAGTGAGATTTGCCAGTCAAAACATATGTTTAAATATGCATTGATTTAAATAACCTTGGTCAACTCATCCTACCAGAGATGATCTGAAAAGATGGAAAACTTGGCAAAGTTCTGGTGCTATAATTAAGTTGCGTTTTTTCCTTATTAGATTTGATTATTTTCCCTAAGGATTAATCTACAACACCGTTTAAACGTGAGTCACTGTTATGATCACTGCTCAGTCTGCATTATATGCAAAAACTACCAACTCCTCTACTACTACATCATGCAAATTGGAGGATATGGAGAGAACTTGCTAGCAAGATACAGGATTAACCCCTTTTTCAGTGAACTTCATGAGGACCTGGAGAAATAAGTTAATTTCTATTTCTGTATACCTTCTTTTTGTCTAAGAACCTCACTTCAGGGATTCACTGAATAACGGCTCATTAAGAAAAAAAGGTTAATCAAACTCACCTACATAGTAATTTTATATTTAAGATTTTATCTTCAGTCAAGTTTTTAAGCAAAAACCACAATTAATCTAACAGAAAACCAGCATCTGATACACAGCTTTGCATTGCTGAGGAGACACACTGAAGCCAGATCTTGGCTTCAGTTAAGACAACTGATGCTATCATACAAAAAAAACAGTTTATGTGGCAGCCTGCACCTACAGCATGTGTTAAAGGTCTATTTTAAGTCTACAATTGTAGACTTTTTAAAATCAGTCCTTCAAAGAAACAAATAAATGCAGATCCTCCACAACTGTGGGTCTAATAAATCTGAGCAAATATGAAGTTTGTCAGACTCTCTAGAGCTGGTAGAATAGGGTTACAACAGCTCAGTCCTCCAACCTGAACCTTCATTAATGTGCTAGGGATGGTTAAAAAAAACCCCAAAACCAATACAAAAAGCATAAAGAAAACAAGACAAACCAAACAATCGAAAACACCAACCAAGAAGAATTGTCATTGTAATAATTACATATGCCTTAATTCCAGTTTCATTTTTTCAGGGATTGTTAATTAACAATGTTAATTGCCTTTAAAAAACAGTTATACTAAAATTGAATAGGAGAACTAAGGAGAAGAAAACTCAACTAATGAGTTAGCATGAGGAATATTCCCCTATATTAAATGCCTTTAGCATGCTCAGCTCCTTGAAAATAGGATTATTTATCCTTCAGTCTAAAAATTGCTGCACTCAGTATACCCAGCTAGATGTTCAGACTCACTAACAAAATTTGTTTCTTAACAATGCTCACTGGAAGGAATCTCATTAAAAGTCCCAGCTTTGCCATCCACCCCTCACTTCCAAGACACAGCTTATCTTTTCTGCCTTAAATATTTTGATGTAAAACATTTTTAAAATTTTTTGTAAGTAACGCAGACTAAACTGTGTTTAAATTTCTAGCTTGCAAATAGGCATTAAAGAGTTGATTTAGAAAACTTTTGAATTAAAGGGAAAAAAACCCCACCCAACCTCTTTGAGTGTTAAAAAATATCTCCCTTTGAGTAATGCCAGAACTTGTGAAGGAGAAATGAGGTTTTACAAGCAGTATCATTTCAGGCTGCAGAATGAAACTCACAGATTATTTACTGCACTGAAGGTGCATATGTTGATTGGTGTCCTCAGGAGCATGGTACACTAGAAAAAAGGATGCAGCTATAAATGTTTATGTTCAACTCCCCAACGGAACATTCCACCTAAAAGACCAAGAAGAAAGATTTTAATAGTGACAAATTTCATACTGAATCAAGGGTCAGATAGTGGGAGGTATTCATTCCACCCAAGTTTGACCAGAGCACAGTGTTCTGATCCACACTGGCAATTACATTTTGCTTGATCTTTAATTTATGGCATTATAACTCAAAGGTTTTCAGGATCCAATGTAGTGTCCATCATGGGAAAATGAAGGATAAGAAAAGTTAAGTAAACCTGGCCAAGAAATTTCATATTTCAAGAATGATTCTCTATGTGCTTTGTGTTTGATTTCAGTGGCTATTAGCAAAATCAGGCTTGACGTAAAAAGAATCATTTTCAACTGCAAAAGAATCTGAAAGAGTAAGGGAAAGACTCAAGTCCTTCACACAGCAGATGGACAGTTGTTACATACACCCCACCTATTTGCCAGGTACTGTAGCTCACAGTAAACCCCAGGATTTCTTTCTTTATATACCACTAGAAAAGGACCTGAATAACCTTGGGGTTTATAAGTTTACAAAAAGTTTTTCTCAAGTCTGGAATGAGCAAGTAACAAACACAGAGGGAAGTCTATCCAAAATTCAGTGAGGAACCTGCCATCATTGTACAACTAGAAAAATGAAAGGTGAACACATGATGCTTGGTTTTCTAGTTATGTCCATTTTTTGCATGTTTACTACTGCAGCAGCTATAAACGTCAAAGACCTCCTATGCCTTGCACCAAAGCCAAAGAATAATGCACTAGAAAGAGGCGTGAAATAAGAAAATAGAAAACAGATATTTGAGCTGCATTTTAGAAATTATATGCAGTAGAAAAGAAGAAAGAAACACAGAAAGTAACTACAATTTTTACCTGATATTGTTCTTAAATTTATAAAGTATGTCCACCAAGAAAACTGCAGAGGGGAAAGTGACAGATTAAGAAGCTGAAGAAACCCTTGGGGTTGAGGAAAATCCTGAAGATGCCAGAGACTAGAGAGAAAAACCCAGGAAGGCAGTCCACTTTCACACTCTGGATTACAGAAGACAGCTGAAAGCATGGGAAAGGTATAGACAGGGTACCAATACTTCACAGTTAGTCATTGTACTGGTGGTTTAATGGGGATATACAGACCAGAAATGATAAGAGCATTGTAACCCAAGTCCTCTTACTCAGCATGAGAAATTAGTTGAGGAAAGAAAAGTCAGTCGTTGAAGTGACAAAAAACAGGAGAGGGACTAAAACATGTTTGTGCTTATGGAAGGGAGAGAAAAGAGATGCAGGGAGGAAAAAGAGGCAAAAGAGAGCGTGACATGAAATTTGCAAGTGTGAAGTAATGGACAATTCACTTAATAGGCCTAGTTTTGATGTGAAGTCATGATCTGTCAAAAACTCTGGTAATCTTATTTACTTCCTTTGCAGTCTAACATCCCATGCATGATAAGCTACCTGCAGGTCATTTTATTGCCATCATGCAAGTTTAAAATTAAAAAATAAGCAGTGTCTTACTCAATATTAAAACTGAAATTCCCAGTGATCGCTACCCTAAAATTACAGGATCACAGAATTGCTTTGGTTTGGAAGTGACATTAAAGATCATCTAGTTCCAACCTCCCTGGAAGGGGCAGGGACACCTTCCAAACGACAAGCAGAAAGGCACTCACAATGTCTCTCAAGCAGCCTGTCCCAGTCTCCCGCTACCCTCTGAGTAAATAACTCCTTCCCAATACCTCTGCACCTACCCTCTTACAGTTCAAAGCTATTCCCCCTCATCCTGACACTCCATGCTGCTGAAGTCCTCCTCTCCAGCTTTCTTGTTTGGCCCAGTCTAGGTACTGAATGGTGGCTAAAACAGCTTCACAGAATACACTGACAGTTTGATTTGTAGAGATCTCTTAAAAAGTATGAAGCCATACAACACCAGGTGTAATTTCTAACCTCAAGTTTAACATTAACGTCTTGGCTGTTAACTCTCAAAATAGTGCTACTCTTCCCCTTTTTGCTCAACATACTTATTCTTTAAAAACCCTTACTAACCCACACAACTATGTACCTATATATAGCACTGTTGAGGGTCTTGTGGTAGGCATTGAACTTGTTCACATAGAATGATACTGATTTATTGGCTGTAAATGGCTGAATTCCAAGATTGATGCATAAAGTTATCTCAACATGTTGCCAAAAAAAAATCCCCATCCCAACCCAATCAAATTTCATCCTATTTTCAATTAAGCTTAGTGGCAGGAGCTATGGAAAGAACTGCTACTAAAAGTGTCTTCTGGGACTTTACATTAACACACACTAAAAAAATGGAAGCTATTTGTGCTCATATAGCTGAGATACCCTCCATTGTCAAGATCGTATTTGCTGAGTGTTCACTAATCATTTCGTCACTTGCTTGCAAAGAGTTCCTTTTGGTTTGTATTAGAAAAAAAAAAAAACAAGCCAGTTTTATTGCATCCTTTTATGGCAAAATCAATTTATTGAGATGGTGACATACAAAGTCGGACAAGCACCTGCACTAAGATAGTAAACAAGTCAAGGATCTAAACTACATACAGCATAGTGCTATCACAGATCACTGGCGGAAGAAAACATCCCATTCAACCAAAGTAGAAATAGTTGTTTTTTCAAGAATTACTCTTCATAATCTGCAGACTGTCTGGAACTAATTAAGTCTCTGACGACTTAAGTCCAGCAATCAGGTCCCTGAGTTCCAGGCCGAATTTCCAGCCTGAAAATATCCTGTGTGTCTTTACGTGTTAGCCATGATCAGGAAACAGGTGCAATTCAGAAAATGCAGCTACAACAACGGTAGAGTGCCTTATTTCTCCCACTGGTACTCCAGCTTTCAGTACTTCTAGCGAGCTGACAGGAACAGAAGCCAACTACGAGTCCCTGCCGAACTGCCCCGTTGCGAGGAGAAGAGCCAAGGAGGCGACCAGCGGCTCGCTCTCGGAGGCACGGACGAGCGGCCTCGCTCTCCCAGCGGCAGCAGCCCCTTCCCGCGGCGCCCGGCCGGAGCAGCGCGGCCCCGTCCCGCGCTGCCGAGCGGGAGGCGGCGGTGCGCAAGGCTGCGCCCGGCTACTCACCATCTCCTGCCTCAGGAGCTGAAGTTTCGTCTCCAGCCGGGCCAGGGCGGCAGCGCGGCGGCGGCGGGGCCCGGGGCCCGCGGCGGCGGGGCGGCCCGGGAGCTCCTCCCCGCGCAGGGGCCGCGCCAGGCTCTCGGGCACTTTGCGCCCCAGCTTCTGCTCCACGTCGCGGAGGTCAGGCAGGGCGCCGGGCTCCATGGCTCGCCCTGCGGGGGGCCCGAGGCGGCAGCGGCGGCACTACCCGCGCCCGCCCTGCCGCTGCCGGGGCGCGGAAGCGCCGGGAACCGCGGCAGCGCCGGGCACGGCGGGTGCGCCGCGCGGGGCAGCCGCGGCGGGCATGGGCATCTCCCGGGCGCACCAGTCCTTCCCGGCCGCCCGGGAAAGGAACAGCGGCTCGGCAGGGGCGGTGGGGAGAAACGGCCCCGCTTCGTGTACGAGACCGTGAGGCGCCCCGGCAGCGGCGTCCGGCACGGCGCGACCCGAGTCATGCCGCGTCCCGCCCGGCCGCAACTTTAAAGGCGCGGGCAGGTGGAAGAGGCGCGGCGCGGCGCGGCCCTCCCCCCGCGGTGCCCGTGCGCAGGGGCGGCGCGGCCGCGGGGCGCCCCCGCACGGCGGGGACCGCGCCGCACCGCCCGCTGCCGACTCGGGAACGCCGCGTCCTGGGAAGGAAGGGAAGGAAGGAAGGAATATTGCACTCAAGTAGTCAAGTGCATTCCTCTTAATTTCTTTTTTTTCTCCGTCCCCCTCCTCTTTAAGAAGCAAAAGCTTGCAAGCTGAGTCAGTTGCTCCAACTGATAGCAAGGTAAATTTTGGCTGTGCAGATAGCAGTGCTGGTTGTGTCCTGTTGCTCCTTGCCCCACGATGCTCCCTCTCCCATGGCACTAAAAAACATTTGAAGCACTAAGGTATGAATAGCCGCATCTGTGGAGCTACAGCTGACACATTTAAAGGGTGTTGAGAAAGTGAGGCCAGTCACTCTAGGTGTCAAGTCCTCTATAACAACTAGAATCATAAAGTATGGTGTGGTGAACTTGGGGAAAAAAGATGTTTTTACAGCAAACTGGATGCTTTTGGTGAAATAATTTAATCCGTATATTATCACGGACCTTTGCAAGGGCTTAGTACAGTCAAATAAAAAATCTGCAGATGTATCCGATATCTTAAACGCACATTGATTTTAGACCAGAACCCTTATTTTGTCACTTCAACCATCTGCAAATACCTTGTGAGACACATATGAAAATACATTTATTTCTCTCATGTTTGTCATATATCTTAAGTTCATATGAAAAATCTCCATTAATATTCTTCTCAGAAAAGAAAGCCAAAACCAGCCGTTCACAAATAAGAATCTTCCTTCTTATTACTACCACTCCCAAATATTTCCTGAATTTCTATTTTAATATATTGATAAGTAAGACTAGCTTCTATATAATCACATGTTAATATTGATTTATGCCATTCTGTAAATTAGTAGGGATCAAATTGAAAGTCTTCCTCTCTGAGCTATGAACACCTTGTTAAACAAAATTTGAAGCTTACATGACTGTTGTTACAACATGGAACCATAGAATTCACTTGTTCTACAAAGGATCTTAGAAAAAAAGTCATTATTCAACTGTATTGAGACTTTGTTTGAAGAAACTTAGAAATTCTGAATTTTTAAAAATATTTCAGATTACCTGAATTATCAAGCTTTTAAAAATGAAAATGGAAGAGAAATAATACAAATAATTTATGCTAGTTTGATGAAAAGCTTTTTCAGTGATAAAAAAATTCCCCAAATCCTACTCCAAATAATCTAAAAAGAATGAAAATAAGTCCTTTTTTATAAGGACTTACAAACAACATTCAGAAAGTAAACTACATAAGGTAACCTATGCATTCATGAATTTATGCTTTACCATCTGATGGCCTGATTCTTACCTTCCACTGGCCTTGCATTAGTACAGCAGCTAGCAAGTCACTGGGTACTTTTGAATTACAAAGATTAAAAGATATGCCTATGTTGCAGTCACCTTGCTATATCTTCGAGGTTGCCAGTTTTGCTAAACTAGTAAGTGTTTCAAGGAAACAGGTTCCTCTTTGAGTAAACAAACCCAGAAAATATGTAAATTCCATTTTTGTCTCATGGGACAGATCCTCTGTCCTCATTTTAGAATAATAAAGTGTCCTAATTTATAAGGGGTTCATAAAGATCATCTAATACAATGCCCTGCTCCTTGCAGAACTACCTAAACCTAAACCATATGATTGAGAGCATCATCCAGACACTCCTTGGACTCTGACAGACTTGGAGCTGTGACCAGTTCCCTGGGAAACCTGTTCCAGTGGCCGCACGCAGGTCCCAGCCCAGGGCCAGGGGCCCCTGGGCACATCCTTTGGCAATTTTCAAAGTTGTGCTGCCCTGATAGACCCAAGGGAGCCCTAGAAACTGACATCAGCAATCTGGACTGGTGAGTTTCAATCACTCTGTTGATAAAGAACACTTTCCTAATGTCCAGTATGAAGTTCCCCTGATGAATCTTCATTGCATTTCCTCATGTCCTGTTACTGATCACCAGAGTAACAGAGTAACCTACTGCCTACAGTGAGGAGGCTGTAGTCTCTGATAAGGACAACTCTCAACCTTCCCTTTTCCAAGGTGAACAAAGTGATCTCAGTTGCTCTTGAATGCCTTATCCTCGAGGTCTTTCAGCCCTTTGGTCACCCTCCTCTGGACACACGCTAACAGTTTGGTAGCCTTGTACCTAGGCACGCACCCACAGCTGCACACAGGTCTTGAGATGGGCTACACCAGTGCACAGTAGAGCAGAACAATCGGCTTCCTTGACCAGTCGATGGTGCTATGCTTGATGCACCCAAGACACATCTGTCCCTTTTGACTGCCAGGGCATGTCGGTGACTCATCTCCAACTTGCTATCTACCTAAACCATCAGATAGATGCCTTTCTTTGCTTTTCTTCAGTCTCTCATCAACCAATTATATACAACCAGGATTACTTTGTCCTAGGTTTAGAATCTGATGCTTGTTAAATTTCATGCAGTTGGTGATTGCCATCTCTCTAATTTAGTCACATCTTTCTGTAAATTCTCTCTACCCTTGAGGGAATTAAGAGTTCCTCCTACTTTTGTATAACTGGCAAGCTTCCTTAATGCACATTTAATTTCCACATCCAGATAATTTATAAAAAACACCAAAGAGCACTGGCCTAAAATTGGGGACCCCCACTGGTGATTGGCTGCCAGCCTGATAGGACCCCATTCTTTGAGTCAGTCAATTGCTCACATAACATAAAATGAACTTGAGTAGCTGTGTGCTGGACATTTCATCCAAAAGGATACTTTGAGAGACAGTAACAAAAGCTTTGTTAAAATCAAAGAACCCACATTACTGCCTTTCCTTGGACAACTTGATGGGTATCTTTGTCATAAAAGGAAATTAATTTAGTGAAGCAGGACTTTCCCCTTGTGAATCAGTGCTGGTTATGAGTAATGACTGTATTGTGTCTCAGGTATTTTTCACTAACTCTCAGAATAAATTTATTCATAATTTTGCCAGTCACTGAAGTGAGACTTATAAACCTGTAATAACGAAAATCTTCCTTCTTACACTTCTTGAAAACAGGGAGAACATCTGCTGTGCTTCCAGTTGACTGGGACCTCTCCAGACTCCAAACATTGTTGAAAAAATAATAGGAAGAGTTTCTGCAATGACATTAGACAGTTTTTTTCAGTACACTGGGATAGGTCCCATTGGGCCACATAAATTTATATACATCCAGCTGGAGCAGCAAGTCTCAAGATCAGAGTTAGCTGTGAGTTTATCATTTCCCTAATCACAGCCTTCCAAAAGAGAATTTAGGACTCAGTGATGTTAAAGACACAGGCAAAAAGGCAGTAAAGTCCCCTGCTTTGTCTACAGACTGGTTTTGAGATGACTGGCCTGATCAAGTAATGGACCAATATTATCTCTGGTTCCTCTTTTGAAGTTAACGTATTTAAAAAAGAAGGCCTTTCCTTGTCCTTCAAAGTTCTACTCAGTTTGGACTTTAGCTGAGCTTTAGTCATACAAAGTTACTCTATATAGTGTTGAATAGTATCTCTAGTCCTCCTCCTTTTTTCTGTATTCTTCAGCCCTGTGCTGTCCACTCTTTGGGTGAGATTTAGAGATTTTTGAGTATCTTACTAAGTAAGGTAATTTAGATCTGTGTTTGCTATCTTGGTTTTTTCTTTCTTTCTTGTTATTTTAAGTTCAGACAGAGATATTCACTAATTTTAATGCCTTGTAAAATACCCCTATCAACCATTCAATTCCTTCTGTAGCCGAAAGTCTTGAGATCTCAGTCCAACAAAATGTGAATGTTTCTATGTATAAGAGACCATACCATCTAACAGCCTCTTGTTAGATAGGCTTTCTGTTGTCACATGAGATCATCTGCATCTCCCACAGGTTTTAAAAGTAAGGAATAAAAGCTTCCTCATATTACTCTACTGAGCACAGCCTTAGACTTGTGTTAGGTCAAACCACGATTTTACATATGAAATTGGAGAGTGGATGTTATGTTAAAAATTTTGAAAGTAAACTGAAATGGTTTTTTTTTTTTTTTTTTTTTTTTTTTTTTTTTTTTTTTTTTTTTTTTTTTTTTTTTTTTTTTTTTTTTTTTTTTTTTTTTTTTTTTTTTTTTTTTTTTTTT